ATTCTAGTCAATCTCTTTATAGAACTTTGCACTTCCTGACTAACCTTGGATCCAAAAGTGATCGAGGATTTGTTTATATTGATTCGTTGCCCTGTGGCATCACCATAAGTGTTCAGAATTTGTTGTAGAACTCCTGCTTGAGCAACCGAAGCTTTGCAAGTAAAAAGACTATCATCAGCAAAGAGTAGATGGTGAATGGATGGTCCTGAAGGAGAAAATTGAATTCCTTGAATAGAGCCTGTAGCTGCTGCCTTGTTTAAAAGATGGGATAGACCTTCTGTACATAGCACAAACAAGAATGGAGATAAAGGATCACCCTGTCTCAACCCTCTTTCTGGAGTAATCATCCCATAAGGTTTGTCATTGACTAGAACTGAGTAAGTAACAGAAGAGACACAGAACATTATCCATTTAATCCACTTAGGATGAAAACCCAGTGCCTTGAATAATCCTTCAAGATAATTCCATTCCAGTCGATCAAAAGCTTTTGACATATCAGATTTGATAGCCATATACTCAGAAGAAATAGTCGAATGAGTTCGCAGTGCATGGACCAACTCATGAGCTATGGAGATGTTATCTGAAATCATTCTCTCTGAAACAAAAGCAGACTGAGATGGTGAAACAAGCTGAGAGAGAAAAGGTTGTAGTCTTGAAGCTAGTATTTTGGAGATGATCTTGTATAGAACTGAACACAAGCTGATGGGACGAAGCTCTGTCATTAGGGAGGGATGTGTCACCTTTGGAATTAAACAAAGCTGAGTATAATTCCAGTCCTTTGGAAAAGAGCCACTAATGAAGAATTGCTGAACCTCTTGTGTGACCTGGGGTCCAATGATATCCCAATATTTTTGAAAAAAGAGGCCCGTCATCCCATCATAACCCGGAGCACTCGAAGGATTGATCGAAAAAACAGCTTTTTTGATCTCAGAAATAGCAACAGGTTTGATCAATGCATCATTCATGACCTGAGTAACCCTAGGTTGAAAATCAAGAAAGAAGCTATCAAAGCTCCCAGGATTAGAGGATTTAAATAAATCCTTGAAGTAATTAGTAGCTATTTCACCCTTAGAAGCTTCTGATTTTTGAGCAATTCCTTTTGAATCAACTAGGCTTTCAATTCTTTTCCTTGAACGGTTAGCTTTAACTGAAGCATGAAAGAATTTGGTATTATTTTCTCCTTCATATAGCCAGGTCTCTCTACTTCGTTGACCCCAATAAACTTCCTCTTCCTTGTAAGCTTCTAGTAACTGAGATTTGATTCTATTAATTTGTTGAAAACAAGGAAAGGCTGAAGAATGTTCCAACTCTAAAGCTGCTTGAAGATGAGTAATTTTGTCAAGAGAGTTTAAACTGTTCTCCTTTTTCCATTTGCTTAAAGCTTTCCTACAACCTCGTATTTTGTCTGAGACCGATGCCGCATACGATGGATAGACATTCAACCAAGCTCGTAAGATGGCCTCTTTCACCTTTGGTTTATTTAAAAACCTTTTGTCAAATCTAAAACTACCCTTGTAGGATTCACTGGAAGACAGAAACTGCACCAGAACTGGCCTGTGATCTGAGCCTCGCTTCTCCAAGAAATTCTGATTCGACACAGGAAATAAACTGAACCAAGCTTTATTCCCAAAACATCTATCCAATTTGCTTTGGATCCACAATTGTTGCCTCATTCCTCCCCAAGTAAAGCTGTTACCAGTAGAAGGCAGTTCTTCCATTCCACAAGCACTAATCATATTAGCAAACGGAAGAAAAGAAGATTCACTTCTCCGCGGACCACCTAATTTCTCTCCATTATGAAGAATCTCATTGAAATCTCCTAACATACACCAACTGTCTTTTCTATCAAGACCTATTCTCGTTAATCTTTCCCAAACCAACGATCTAGATTTAAACAAAGGGTCCCCATATACACAAGAAACAAAGAAACTAGAAATCCCAGAACTAACATGAAAGTCAAGCAAATTTTTATCCACAAACTTGAAGTCTATGACAACACTATTTTTCCAAAAAAGAGCCAAACCTCCACTTTTACCCAAAGGATTAATAGTAAAAACTCTATCATAACCCATCCATTCCTGTAAATCTACCAAAACATCTCTATTATGCATAGTTTCCATTAAAAACAACAAATCAGGGAAATAGGTTTTACGGATTTCCCTGAGTCTAGGAATTGTCAAGTCTTGAGACCGTCCCAAACCTTGACAATTCCAACTCATTATGCTCATTGAGATTTGGACAGTCCCTCATTTGGGACCGTCTCTTGATTGGAGAGTCTAGGAGATTTCACTGAACTAACGGAACCAAAAGAGCTTTTTCTTTTATTTAGTACCCCTTTCCCTTTATCTATACCTTTAATTGACTCAGAAAGCTTAGGGGAATTAGTACCTGGTGAAGATTTCCTTGGTTTATAAGGCTTTCTCCTTTGATAAGCTTTAGGCAAAACAGACCCTGAAGAGCTTGCCTCCAAAAAACCAGCCTCAAAATCTGATGAAATTTCCGTATAAGCCAAGGAGCGAGTAGGCTGATTTATATCATTCATATCTACTGACATCAAAGAACTTGAATTAAGCCCAGTATGAATAGCAGAGGAAAGAAGTTTAGGTTCCTTGAACATCGCCTCATCATCTTTCTGCATATCTTGTATCTCAGACGCAATTAGAATTCCTTTTCCTTTAATCAATCCAGAAGATAATTTTGAGAAAGAAGCAAAAGGGTCATCTTTCAGTTCAAGAATGAACTCTTTGACTTTATTCTCACGAACCAGTCGCTCAGAATCAGATGCAAGTAAAAGATAATGCCGCAGACCATCTAAAACTTCAAAAGCAATTCTTTGTTTCCCTGTTTGTGGATCCAAACCAACCTGATCATCAGATAAAACACCAAAGAGAGGGTCTGAGTCTTTAAAGAAAGGAGGCCGAGAATTCTTCCTAGGAAGAGAAGTCAGATCTCCTCCACCGTCCAAATCTTCTTGTTTTTTCTGAATAAACAGAGGGCAATTATCTTGTTCATGCGTTAGTCGTTGGCAAGAAAAACAACGCTTCTGGATCCTTTCGTAGTCATAAAGGATTGAGACAGTAGTACCATCGGGTAAGTTAACCAATTTAGAACGACGAAGAGGTTTAGAGACATCAAAATTAACTCTTACCCGGACATAATCCTTATTCTGTGGTTTCGTAGGATCAAAATCAACTTCCAAAACTTTTCCAGCAAATCCACCAAGAGATTTGATCGCGTCTACCGTATAGTGGTTGACGGGGATGTTACGCAGCTGGACCCAAACCGGAATGAATTGAAGATAATCCGGAGGAGGAAATTCAATCCATTTGTCTATCGCCAAAGCCCACTGATTATAAGTATGCACACCTTTCTTCAGAATACCTTCCAAATCGTGTTCATATTTGAAGATGAACTGAAATCGCTCTTTCGAAAGAGCAACTCCTCGAACCCGATCATTGATTTGCCACTTCCTTGGCATATTGAAAACTATATCAGAGACCTTCTGGCTAGTCGGATTCAGAATTCTGCCAATTAAGCTAAGAGTATTATCTTTACTGGAACTGAATTGGGGCAGATCTGGGAGATTGAAAGGTTCATCTTCGTCATCCAGCGATAACGCCATGAGAATTTTATCAAGTGAAGTAGACATGATAAACAACCACAAGGAAGAACAAGGCACCAGAGCAGTAGAAAGAGGAACAAGGGAACAGAAACGAAAAAGGGATTTTCAGATGTTCTTGAGAAATAAGAAGAAACCCTAGGGAACTCTTACAATTTCTCAAAAAAAGCAACCAAAGTAAAGATATCGTGTTGAATTTTGCAAAGAGAAAATGTTTTCCAGTCAAAAGCTCTTAAACTAAAAAGTCAAAGACTCTAATAGAGAAAGAGAGATCTAAGCCCAAAAGAGGGAAGCCTTTTTTGTCTTATTTATTTTAGTTTCAGAGTATTTTATAGTTCCGGTTTTTTTAATTTATTTTAGTTTTAAATCAAATATATAAAAAATATGATTTAGTTATCCTCAGAACATATTCCTATATTCCGTTTTGATGAAAAACAATGCTTCTAAAATTGGACCTAACATGTGGCACAAGTAAAATCTCTTAGTTGGCAAGAAGACAATATTGTCATTCCCTTCAAGGCATAATTATCTCCTAATGTTTCTATTAAACATGATCTTTTTATGCCCCCCTCAAAAAACTGAAATTTGAAAGAAAGAATAAAATTCAATTCAATTGCTTAATTCTTATTTATACAAATAATATAAGCAGAAGCAGAAATACAACTTTTGTATGCATGCATATAGATAAATATTTATAACTGTCTAAAACTATTTGAAGGTCAATTTTATGAAACTTGCATTTGATGTTTTTAACCTGTTCTTTTTCTAAATAGTTCCAATTTATGTACATATTTATAATTTTTCCCATAGTATTTTTTTTTTTTTTTTTGAAAAGAGATTGAGATGATATTTGAATACATCCCTTGCACATATTATTGATGGTTTTTAATTATGATATTTATCAATTATAAATTCGCTACAAGACTCATATGCGGTTCTTAAGAACAGGTTCTTAAAGTTAATTATGCTTTTTGATTTGATTTAAATCACTTTAAGCTAAAAAACCCTTATTAGAACCTCCATTGGAAGTAGCAAAGAATTAATCATACCAGCTCCCTTTATGCTCAACACTGAAGCACCTAAGAACTCTCTTGCACCCTAACAACTCAACAAAACCTAATTAATTATTAGCCTTAAACTCTAATTATCAAGTTTTTGTAATAAATCAGTATCCTTACTTGGCTTGTTATGACTATCAATAATATTGTCAACAATGTGAAGAGGAAGCATGGGATTGTTCTCTTAAATCAGCCATGAAATAGTCAATGACGATGAAGTATATTGAGTAGGTAAGTAGATAACATGTTCTTATCGTATCACATAGTGAGGTACATATGTACTAGACACTTAATCTATACATATATATCATCTTTCACTAGATAGATCTTCTCAAAGGTGAATACATAGACCACTCCAAACATTGATGAAGATGTCCAGAATATACAGATGTAAAACATCGGTTACTTTGAGTTTGATTTTGAAGATGCTCTTCTCTTCTGCTTTGATGTTTCTATGGTTCTCGATCGTCCTTCTCTCTCATCTCCAACTCTGTTTATACCTTAAATAGTTCTAGGTACTGTAAAACATATATATATATAGGATTCATCAGTACTTGATAACTTATAAGAAATATCATACAATACCTAAGTTCGAGAGTGTTTAATCCTTGGTTTTCATTTAAAAGCTTGAGTAAGTGACTTTTCCTTCCACATTATCCATCAATCAACCTCTAATTATATTCTTTTGATGCAAGAAATCAATCCGAATCTAGGGCTGTGTTATATTAGTGAATCAAAGTAGATAAACTATAACAATCCTTTGTTAATTTGGTAGACCATAATAATAAGCTTTAAATGCCATTATGAATATTTAAACGTTATTGATTAATTCCAAAACGACGTCGTGTTGAGTATAGTTGACGAAACAGTTGTTTTCTTCTTCCATTGTTGTTGGTCTTTGAAGAGAAGAAGAAGAAGAAAGGCTTGAGAGGAAAAGATGGAGGAGGAATCGCGAGATATACTGATGTCGACGCTGATGGAATCTGGGGTTTTGATCCCCGGAGATTTCTCTTCCGTTGGTGAATTTACTCCGGAGGCGTTAGTATCGATCTCTGCTCAGTTGCTGAATCTCATTGACCCATCAGCCTCGTTTTCCGATGAGCTCCCTGATTCTCTCCCCGAGAGGTTTAGGATCTGCACCGATATTGCTCAATCTGTGAAGAATCTAGGTTACATCAACGACATGAGTTATTATAAGGTATCATTTTGTATTCATTCCCTCTTTAGATCGCAACCAGAATCGAATTTTGATTGGTTGATAGAGGGAATCGCCTTGGGTTAAAGGAAACAACTTTAGGGTTTTATATTTCTAAAGGAACATGCTTTTATGTGATAGTCTTTTGGTCTTGGTTAGAATCTTCTGAAGTTTACTTTTAACGTTTTGGCTGTGTGGCTTTTCTTATTGGTGTTGAAATCATGCTGAAACAGATTGTATGTGTTGCTTGCGGCAGTTTCTGCATCCATCTGAAGATGACTCGTATAGGTTGGTTAGGTTTCTGGTTGAGAGGCTTTCGGAGAGCAATGAAGGAAGAAAAACTTCTAGTAGGCCAAAGGTGGAGAATTTTAGAGATATTTCAGATGACAGAATGGTGAATGAGGACAAGGATGAGACTTTTGATATGCATATACAGAAGGTTGAAGCTGTCCTAAAAGATCTTACAATGACTAGTGAAATCTCTCATTCACCTGACTCTCTTGCAAAAAATACATCAACCAATGGTTCCACCATTGTTGACCTCTTCTCCCAAAAGACGGATGATCCTGTTACTGATGTACCATCGGATCTTTCTTTGAGAGAGTCATCTGGATATGAAGACCTGTCTGAGGTACTGTTTCTTCAGCTTATTGTGACCTTATCTCTTTTCTCTGTACATGAACATCAGAGCATATGTTTGAACATTTACATGGGAATAGTGATTTCAAACCAGTTTTATGAATGTTGAAGGCGTATAACCTTAATCATTTTTATGCTTTGTAGACAAATTATGAGACTGTTGAGTTACAGAATCAACATAGTGTACTCTTGGAGGAACTGGAATCTGGATCTTCAGAGCTATGCAGTCTTGAAAGCGAGCTGGAGTTGTTGAAGATGGCTGCGGAGAGGTTATTAGACAACAAACAGCCGAGTGGGTCATATCTCGAACAGCTTAATCAACAACTAGTGGTCAAAAGGTGTAATATCATGGATGTTAAAAAGCAATGGTATGAACAGTATTCTATAATTTTTTCAAGTTGAAAGCTTCAGTGCATTCAGTTTCATGGACAACCACAGGACATGATGGGAGAATTATGTATAGCATGATTACTAAGTATATCATGTCTTCCTTCAGGGACGATGTAAGGCTGACTTTGGAAACTAAAAAGCTACTTCTCTTGGACCAACTTCGTGTGGAGGAGCCAGAGGCTAAAGAGAAATTCCATCAGTTGAGAAAGACTGAACTGGATTTACAATCTCTCTCATCAGAAATTCAAAAGAGGTAACAAGAAACTCTTACTACATGGCTCTTCACTATCTGTGATTTTGACTTTGTGCTTTTGATTGCTACTTTATCTCTTTTGATTGCTCTTCATTTTAATGTGTTAATCTTTTCTCGACAGGGAAGATGAACGGTGTAACCTATACAATGAGCTTGAGAGGCAGCCAAAAGTAGCGCCTCGGAAATCATATATTCATGGGATTAAAGAAATAACAAAAAATAGCCGTAAACTGGACACTGATATTCAGAGGATTTCAGGGGAGACCAGGGAGCTACAATTAGAGAGTAACTCAATCCAAGAACGCCTGCACCGATCATATGCTGTTGTGGATGAAATGGTTACAAGGTTTGAGCTTTTGGTCTGACATATTTGAATGGCCTGGTCATATTTACACCAAAAGAAAAGTTGCCATGTAGCTGGCTTTAGAGAACAAGTATACCCTTTGCTTTTATAATGTGGTGATGAGGACGGTTTTTCATTTTCCGCAGGGAAGTGAAAAAAGACCCAGCAGTACGACAGGTCTACAAGCTACTGACCAGTATTCACAGTATTTTTGAGCAAATCTCTGAGAAAATTCTCATGACTGATCGGTTTAGAAGAGAAACAGTCGATTATGAAAAGAAGTTGGGGTCCATCACAGCGCGAGGCATGAGTTTGGAGAAATTACAAGCCGATCTGGATGCCATCAGGAAAGAAAACGAAAGCCTAAAGAAATAACTAATTCATGTGGCCGAGGAAGGAGGATTAAATTATACATTTTTGTAGAGTTTTGAGACCATCAGAGTTAAAGTGCTTTCAAATCTGAAGTGTTTGTTTATAGGAATGGGTAATCTTTTTTTCAGATATATGGAAAAATTCTTTCTAATCTGATCTCGACTACTAAAGAGAGCCTAAAGCTGATTCAGCTAAGACACATCAGATATATGTTTCTCAAAAGCTCGGGAATGAATATAGAGAGGCAGCAACAGCTTCAAAAAAACGTTTCCATAAGGATTATCCCAGACATTCTTTATGTATTTTATGTAAGGTCTCACAACAAAAAATAAGGTAAAAGGTTTGCTACTTTGATGCACATCTTCTTCCCTCTTGTAATTGTCAACCTAAATTTCTCTGGGGATGATGGTTCCTAAGTATTTACACCCAAAAATCCAGACTTTAACATCTCTTTTAAGCGTTTGATGTGTATCTTTATAGCTACTTCCCCTTGAACCTAATAGTTGTTAACCCAATTCGTTAGGGTAGCTTGAGGTTGCTGATAAGCAATGTGCGGGTGTCCTATGGGTTCACCCATAGCTGTTGTTGTGTGAGGCGGTGGCGGTAAGGTCTGATATGTAGTTGAAGCAGCAGCCATGGGCTGTGTTGGTTGGTGTATTCCCATGAGGCCACCATGACCAGCCTGCACGACCGGAAAACCAAGTGGCTGACCTTGGAATGCTAGGTTGTACATTGGATTCACCTGCAGGTTGCCAAATCCCTGCCCAATCCATGTAGCTGCACTTTCAGTCTGCAACAACAACATCATATACACCACTGTCAAACTATATAGTCTACACATATATCATTGCAAGGATAGAACAGTAAAAGACTGACCTGGGGAGATGCCTTTTCTTCACTATGGATAGAATTGAAGGCGGTTGCAGATGGGATGCTGCTAGCAACCATGGGAGAAGTGTGTAGGTAAGGGTTTGTGGTGGGAGGGTTTTCAGTGTTGCCTACTGGGTTTACATGAGAAGGTGCTGTTAGAGCAGCTCCTGGTGGAAAAAAAGCCTGCTGAGGGATCCCGTTTGGGCTCAAGAACTGGTGAATGTATGGCGGTGGCATATAATACGGTGAGTAATAGGGACCGTAAGGGACGAAATTGGGTGGATATTGCTGCCTAAGAAAATTTGCCTGTTGAGAGGCTGCTGCTATGGAGCTCTGATCTGGAGGATATGATACTAATGAAATAGCTGGAGAGTTGGAATTTCCGGGCTGTAATAAGAGAAAAGGAGTTATCAAAAAAGTTTAGAATAGATAATGGGATCGTTTTGATTACATATACTGTGACAATATATGCCACGTACCTGAGTCTCTGCTGCTTCTGTGTTAACGGGTTGGCCTATTGCTGACAACGAGGGGACAAGACCAAACACACTGAGTGGAGCAATTTGATGAGTTTCTGTGTTTGATAAAGCTTCCTCCTTCAGTACTTCTTCTACAGGTGGGACAATGTGATCCGAGTGCACCACTGGCTCAGCTCCAGGTGCAGAATTTGATATCCCATAATCCTTATCTTCAGAAAATGTTGATGCTTCTTCTCTGCACAAGAAGTTATGGTAATGAGAAGGAGATACAAACATCAACTTTGAGAGTTAAAGGGATAGGCCTAAAACAGAATACACCTCTACTACTATATCACAAGATAAAACCTTCCCATTTCCAAAATTGAACTTATAAGTGCATATTTTCATAGTCTCACTCAACTGAAACCAGACAATAACTAAAGCAGACAATATGTAAAGTGAAAGCATCTCAGTCACGAACCTAGCAGAAGCAACCCCAGGAATACCATTGGTAGTGGGAGAAGGTTCCCTCTCATCATCCCCTGTCCCATCAGACGATTCAAAATTTGAGTCATCTCCACCATTGTTAGAAGACACCTTTTTCACAAAGTTGGAATCAAAACTGCCAAACGTCAGACCATTTTGCAGTCCTTTGGCAACCTGAAGGTGGAAAGGGAATGTTACGTGTGACTGTTGGCTAACATCTGACTTAGGAAGCGATTGAGTTTTGCCTTGTTTGGACGCAGTCTCGATTTCTGTGGCTGTTACCAAAAGAAACCAGAAGCTGAATCAAATACCAGACCATATAGTTTCTGCACCATTACTGACTTAAATAGACAGCATAATGAACTGAAAACTACTACAATGAAGAATTTGAGGCATACTAAATATTCATGAAAAAAGTCAATATACCTTGATCTGACTGGCTACTACACCGTGAAGCAGGAATCAAAGAAGGATCATCTTGAACTTTATGATTGCTGACCTCACTCGGAACACTAGTAGGACCAGAAACCCTGCAAAAGGTATCCTATAATATTTAGCAACCTAATAGGAGAAAATTGAAAAGCATCCATAATCTTACATGTAACCATACTTTATTTCATTAGGTACTGTGATGTTGCTAGCTTTGTTAGTGACAGGCAGAGCAGTTCTAGAACCTCTTGTTACATGATTAGCTCCATTTTCTCTCTTAAAAGATGCATTTCTTCCATTACCTGCATGCATCGGTATGTAAACAAAGAGATTAATACAGGGAAGAGCACGAAAATTGTTATTTCAAAGGTATCAACAAAAAACACACAAACTACCTTGATAAGAGTTACTTGAAGAAAAGTTCCTCCGACCACCTCTGCCACTTGCTTGTGTAACTGGCACTATATTCTGCAGAAAGTTATCATATGAGATAAATGAAAGCTATAGAAACAAAACTGCAGATAAAGGATTCATAACAAAAAAAAAAAAAAGAACACTTGCCTCCTTCTTTTTCTCCCTTTTACTTCTCACCTCATGAAATGTATCTGCAATATTTCAAAATTTACATTGCATATAAGAAAATGGCGCATAAAGAACAAAATTGCTACAAAGCCAAACTAAAATACAAGAAATTTCACGAGACTGATCCAAAATCTGAATGTTTTGACATGTAGACACATAAGACAAATCGTACCTACTTAATAATCCAGATCACGCCCACTAGAATCCTTGCAAGGTACGAACTCACCCCAAAAGTAAAATTACCAACAAAAAGAAAAGATCTCTTTCAAATAATTCTACATGGTAAGGAACTATGACTTTAAGCATAAATCTGCATATTCATAACAGGAAACAGAGATTCGATAATCGAATAGCTCCAAGAACCAAATAGAAACTCAAAACACTAGCGAAACAAAACTACATCACATGATCTTCCAAAACCCTATCGTACAACCCAAATCTAAGGAGGGCAAAGGAAAATCAAACACAAGAGTCACGCTCCATCAATATAAAACAAACCCTAAGTGTAGAGAAAGAGAGACATATATGATGATTCGTAGTAAGAGGAGTACCTAAGAAGAGGAGTTTCTGAGCGGTCTCAAGAGGATCATTGAAGGAATCCTTATAGACGGCGAAGATATCCTCATCGGAGTGCTGCTTGCCGGTAATCTCTCTAATACCCTGAAGGGTTTTGCGGAGATGGTAAGGAATCGAAACCCTAGAGGAGCCGCCATCGGAGGAGCTCATGGTCTTGTTAAGGAAGAGAAGGAGAAGCGGGAGGAGAGAGAAATTCAGAGACGCAATTGAAATTGGAAGCGCGAGCGACTGTCCTCTTTAATTACTGTATTTATTTACTAACCAAATTAATAATTATGTACCGCTTCACTGTCGGTAACTTTATACGCTTACGTCACTTCATTGCACAACAAACTCTTCATTTGCTTTAAAAAGTTACATTTTGTAAAATAGTTGAGGTCAACCAATTAGAGAAAGACACGTGGATGACGGACCCAAAAACTGTGAATGCGTTCACACTTGTAGTTTGTTTTCGTATAGGCGTATTACATATATATATGTGTGAATCCGATCATAAACATACGTATAACAGTTTGAAACAAAGAAATCAAAATTTTCGAGGGAGGCAAGCTCACTCATGCCTCACTCACTCATCATCGGTCCCAAAGTACCGGTCTCCAAACTCGCCCATACCAGGAACAACTCGGAACTCGTCGTTTAAACCGAGTTCTATCTCTGAAGTCACAATCTTTATCCTTGGGAACTTTTTGCACACCACATTTACTCCTTGAGGTGCCTATACCACGCGAAACCCAACTGCTTAAGCTATATGCAGAGAAGATGCAAAAAGGTTTTGGTTTTTTCAACTTACAGATATGAGATTGAGAAATATGATGTTTGGTTCAGGCACGCCTTTACTTATAAGCAGTCTTATCGCTTGCACCGCTGAGTTTCCTGCAATACAAAACATTCTCTTGTTTATCTTCCCATGTCTAGTCTTTTCCTCTACCAGTAGTACAGAGAACAATGAGTCATACCTGTCCCGAGGATTGGGTCTAGCAAAAGAACATGCCTTTCTGAAATGTCTGAGGGTAGCTTCTCGTAGATAAGCTGGTGGGTGCCATTTGTTGCCAGAAAGTATTTAGGGGAAGTGACGAACAGAGAAAGAACACAAAAACAAGTTACAAACCTGTTGACCGTTGTCGCCTTCTCTATGAATCAAGATCTTCCCAATTTTGATGCCTTTGCAGCATGCTCTAAGAGCGTTCTCCATACTCTCACCGCTGTGTTCAGAGACAGAATCATTATATGATCTTGACATCAACTATTAGTGTCGGAGTGTTTGAGCTGGTTTCTTTACCTTCTGATAACTGAGACACCACACAGTTTCTTACAGAAGTCCACACCCGAATACACAGATCCTAAAATTACAGGAATCCAAAAACGCAACAATGAGTTTATATAATCTTAACTCTGATTGAAGATTCTTGCTTGCAGTTGAATCTTTTTCATTAGCTTACCTGTGGGAGTAACCACTTGCTTTTCTGTAAAGGGAAGGTGTCCAAGGCCGTGCTCAACGACCTGGCGAGAGGACATTAGTAAGGTGAACATGGTGAAATAACACAAAACAGAAATCAAATCTTGCACCCACCAAACGTATCAGTCGATCGGAGTAGAAGATAAAATCGTGCTTTGTTGTTTTAGAGTCGCGAATAAGAGTGTGCATCCCACGTATCTGCAACCAACGGCTAAAGGATCAGTCTTTTGGGTCACTAAACAAGAAATGATTGCTGTTGATTAGACGAGAGAAGGGGAATAAGTAAAACCTGAAAAGTTGATTGAATAACATAAAGATTTGGATATATTTTACAGAGATCATGTTGACCGAGTTTCGTGCGGATATGTTGCACAATCAAATCAATAGCCACATGATTATCACCACCTCGGGGAATTATTATATCTGCGTATTTCTTTGTTGGGAGTATGAAATCCTCAAATGCTGGCTTCACAAACTTTGAGTACTGCATACAAGTTTCACAAATCAAACATAAAAGAAGACTCAAGCGAAAGCTCGACATTGCTGTGACATTGAGCAAATTTTTTGCAAAACAAGAATATACAGCCACACAAACCTGGTCAAGAACTGTAGCGATATCTCTATCCTTCTCAACAGTATCACGTTTAATCCTTCTCGCTAAACGCACATCGGCATCTGCATAGATAACGCCATGATGTAGAATAAGATACCAATTTTATTACCATCGTGAGTATATACACTTGTTAATGCGCAAGTCCAGCTTCCCATATATGCTACGGATTTGGCTAGATAAGTATAGCGGGTTCGGTATGAGAAAAACCTGCATCTACAAATATCTTCATGTTCATCAAATCTCGCACCCGAGGGTCATGAAAAATGAGTATCCCTTCCAGAATTATAACATCAGAAGGATTTACCTGCAAATATATCATAAATAGAGAGATATTAGTATAGCCAATGATTCTTATATAAAGAGTATGGAATACACAAGAGAGCTTTTCACTTCATCATGAGTTCAATCTTCAGAATTTAGAAAAAAAACTTTAAAATGTCAGAACCGGCACACATTTACAAAGTGACTCTGCGACGAGGAAGTAAAGATCATTACCCTTCTGGGTGGGAAAACATTGTTCTTGTAACTTTTGAAGTCATAGTTGGGAATATCTACTGCTTGTCCTTTTCTTAACTTCTCCATGGAAGACAATAATTGCTCAGTATCAAAAGCGTCTACAAGACAAGGAGCAAGATTCATATTTACAAGCAAGCATATGACACATAATTCGTACATTCAAAAGGCTAAGCGACACAGAACAGCCTGAAATTAGAGTAAAAGACGCATTAGTTCTTTGCTTTTCAGAGACTTACTAACCAGGATGATCAAAATTGTAATCATGAACTCTTACAAGCTCCTCTTCATTTACATTATGGTAGAAAGAATCCTGCAAATAAAGATCAACCTCGGTGCATTATATATATCAGAACAAAAATAACGTAATCGAAATTGTTCAGATTTCTGAGTAGAAGAATCACCTGATTTACAACAACAGCTCTCTGATCATGCAGTTGCTGCATAATCATATCACAGACAGTTGTTTTCCCGGAAGCTGCACCTCCAGCAACTCCTGAAAACAACATCCTATTAACACTTTCTGATTCTAACCATCTTCAAACCAGTTAAAGATGAAATCCACTGCGTCTCTCACCGATCACAAAAGGTTGCCCATGTTCTTCTTCCTCAGCCATTTCATCTAGTCTAGTAGAAACTAAACCATCCATTTGATGAAATCCTGAGAAATGAACCTTTGATGATGTCTCTATTATATCCACAGCCGATTTTGAAGCCATTCCTACAACACAAATATCCAATCTAAAATCACATGAAAAAAAAAAGCCGATAAGGAAAACAAAGCTAACACCATTTGTTGTCACCATCCAGGAACAAAAAGGAACACTTTCCAGTCAAAAAGAATCAAACTTTTTAGTGATATTAGTTAGATTCCACAAGTGCCAATGCCGTGATACCCATTTTCTCAAATCCCAAAACAATCAACCAATCATGATCGACCACCAGATTATAGTAACGCCAATCCGAAACATGAAACCGTAAATTTTTTCCCGGGAAAAAAAGGAAAGAACAAAAAAGAAAACAGAGATCAGAAGAGAAGAAAGCTAGATTTTTTTAGATCAATACATGTGAAAGAATCAGAAGAAACGTTTCATCATCACAGAAATCAATATTAGATAAGCAAAAAAAACTCACGAAATAAGAAAAAGGGATTGAATAAGAGCTTCGAGATCACCGATTAGAGAGCTTCCAAGTTCCAGATAAAGAATCTAAACATATAAAGAGAGAGAGAGAGAGACACGAGCATTGCCTGTTAAACTCGATGCACAGACAAAAACTGGAGTTATTAAAGAATTTTTTTTGATAACGTATATATATGTATGTACATGCGGTGAAAGAGAGAGAGAGAAGAATGAAGGGAGGATGCAGCGGCGGTGACGGGTTTTTGCGGAAACCGGAAAGTGGTTTCTTGGTTTTACGAAAGTAGCCTTCCCACTGAAATGTATTTGGAGGACGTGGTAGTGGCAATTCTCGTAAATTTGAGAGTGTTTGGGTCCCTAAAGTGGATAGTGTGATCGAGGATCCACGTCAGATCCTATTCGGATGTGGGACCTAAACGCAGAGCTGATAATCATAATTGGGTGTGGTCGAATGCAATGTTACTATCGAATCTATTATTTACGTTACCACAAAAATACTATTTCAAATTATTCTATTTCTCACACAAATGTAAAGTATTTTTTTTTTTTTTTTTTTCCCCAAAAAGTGTTTTCATTAGCTTTCATCTGTTGCAAAGAGTACAACTGTGGAAACTTCCACTTTTTAAACATAACAACCAACATTTAAAGTAAACAGAAAACATGAAAATGGAGCCTGACAAGGATCCAAGACTCCATTCGATGCATCAGCCAGTATATCTTCACTTCCACTTGCTAACTTCCTTAACCAAACATGAGTGAAGCAGAGGACATGCTTTGACACAAAAAGATTTTCCAAAAGCATACCATTTATTCAAGCTTCTTGACTAACATTCTTCAGCTAACACATCAACGCCAAAAAATGACAGAATCAGTAGAGTGGTTTAACGTTTTTTTGGAGGTTTCAGAATCCCTCCAAGTATTTGCTCATTTCCTTTCTGTTTTTGCTTTCTTTGATCTATCTCCTGCAGATCAACTTGATTGTTTGTGCGTTTTGCTCCATCTCTACCCTCAGGTCTTTGAGAAGACTCTCCAAACTCCACTAGTCTTGAAAATCTTGATGTAGCCTCATTTGTGTTTAGTGGAGTTGAGTTAGAACCTGTAGAAGCATGTTGTCGTTGAATTGCACATTGAGGAGCTGGAGCAACAAAATTCTGAGGAGTTGTCACTCTTGGAGTAAAAAGATAAGGTCTCGCCGCTACCAGTTCTTCCAGATTCAGTGGAGGGGTTGGAACTCTTGGTGGTGGTGTAATAGGAGCAGGAAAAGAGTTATCTGACATTTGTGATTGAGAGTTCATCTCTGATCTATGTAGCTCATCTTGAAACACCATTCTATCCCTCCTCACAGGGGTTTGATTTCTGCCATCCTGTCTTGGTTCTGGTACAGGCAGCATATAAGGACAGTGAGTCCTATGATGAGTGAACCTAAGGCATCGACTGCAAATTCTTCTCAGACGTTCATATTGAAAGCGGATTACAGCAGTCTCACCTGAGTCAAACCTAATCCTTTGGAAAAACCTGAGACTATCAGTTATACCAAATCTGATTCTTACCCTGATATAGGCAATTTGTATGGTAGAGGCTTCATGAAAGTCTATGTGAACAATATGACCAAGCTCTTGAGCAATTTCATTCACTGTTTCCACACAAACATAGGGTAACGGTATTCCTCTAATTTGAACCCACAAGTCTATAGTTGTAAGAAAATCAACATCAGGGAAGATCTCCCATCTCTGATTAACTATAAACCAGTTGTTAAAGAGCCAGGGTTCTCTTCTTTGAACTGAAATAAGATCAAGTTCAGACTGAAAGAGGAATTGAACAAAAGTACCATCTAAAACCCTACCATGGACTGTTTCAGTTAAACCCCAGACTCTTGGTAAAGAAGATATTACCGAGAAGAGGTTCTGAGCTCGAGGATTTAGTGGTCTAGCTATCAAGCTAAGACGGTTACGACCCGCAACATCTGCATAAGCTTCATGTGGTATGAATAACTCCGGATCATTCCTTCCCAAAGCAAGATTCTGAATCTCATCCCACAACTCCTCCGCCATGTTTAAAAGTAAGATTTAAAAGCTCTAGGAGGTTGAGGTTCTAAAACTAGAGAAACCAAACTATATATATACATAGAGTAGGAAAAGGCCAAAGACGTTATTTAAAAATTTAAAGAAGAGGATAAGAAAAGTAAAAGATAAGACTAGAAAAACTTGAACCAAGGTAAGAAGATAAAAAGTAACAAGACAAAAGAAATGATCAGAAAACACCAAAACTAGTCTGAGTGTGCTTTCTCAAATAAATATTTGCAAAATTTCTTACAAAATAGTTATATATACTCACTCTATAATCTAATTGAACCCAAGTGAAGTAAAAAACACATATCCGGAAGTAGAGGTGTCAGACGGGCCGGCCCGCGTCCATCTGGGCCGGTCCGCGATGGGCATTTAAGTTTGTAAGACCGCGACGGGCCGGCCCGCTAGGACCGCGGACAAAAATGATATGTCCAGGCTCGTCCCGCGGGCTTAGTTTTAATATTTTAAAAATAATTATTAAAATTTGAAATTAACAATTTTTCAATTAAAAAAACTTTTAGTATTAATTTTTTTGTAAATCTTATAATTTTATACATTAAATTTTGTTATATGTTCATATATTTCACATATATATTTTCAGAAATATGTAAAAGTATTTATTTATTTATATTAATTATTTATTTTTATTAAATATTTGTCGTCCGCGGGCCAGCCCGCAAATCCGCGGACAAAACCCGCAAAAATCCGCAATCCGCATGGGCTTGTCTGCGAGGCCCGCTATTTTATAGACATAAAAAATGATGTCCAAGCCCGCCCCGCCGTGGGCTACTTGGACAAAGCCCGCGGGCTATCGGCCCGCTTGACACCTCTATCCGGAAGTAGTCCACTTAATTGAAGATTTTGGAACGATGAAAATTTGTGAAAGGTACATATCAATCGAGTGACAACAAAAATTGCATGATCCCGATTGCGACTATCGATATATCTAATATGAAAAGCAATGACCACGTTTTTTATTGTACATTTGATTTCGAGAGTGATATGAGGCAGGTGAGCGATTGCGATGGAGGCGATGTCTACCAAAAGAAGGAGAACGTATCGGGTTTTCTGATTATCTGAGTCCATCAAATAAGTATGGGGGTGTTTCGGTGAACTTTTAGAGTTTGGATCCATTTTGTAGTTTTCCTTACAAAAGTGGGGTGGTGTTAGTATATTTACAAATTATTGGACGTTAATGCAATCCTATACTAATATTTGGGAAGTACATCCTAAGGATCATAACGTTGATTTTATAAGAAATTACAATCTATGCCATTAGAGAATTCTAATCATAAAATTTTATTCCATGTCACTAATATATATAAACGGGTCAACGGGTCAACGGGTCAACGGGTTTAAAGATATTAAAAGATTTTGTTTATATAATACATATAATTTGGAAAAAAATTTCTTCAAATGATTACACAATTAATATAATTCGAAAATGTTATATACTAATCAATTCAAAAATGTAACACAATTAGTAAAAAATGTTATATACTAATATATTATTCGAAAATGTGATTGAAAATGTTATTGAAAATGTTATATAGTAATCCATTTATTCGAACATGTTATCAAAAATGTTATTGAAAATGTTAATGAAAATGATATATCATTGAAAACATTTTATATCAATCCAATTTATAAAAAATGCTATTTTGAATTATAATACTCATATAGTTCAAAAATGTTATATACTAATCCATTGTTTGAAAAAGTTATTAATCCAATTTTTGAAAATGTTATTAATCCAATATATGTATGGATCTTCTATCTATATTATTGTTGTTCAAATCGGATCTTTTGGAATTAATAACGAAAAATCGTTTAGCATTAATTACGAAAAAATAACGACAATTAATTACCTAACAAATACGAGAAATTAGTTTACTTATTTCTCGAAGGAATATTGCTCAAAAATCGGCTTATGTGGCAAACATCATAAATGACGCCGTAGGTATCTGTTTCGAGGTCAAAATTGATTCTTAATCTTATTCCCATCAACAAGATACCAACGGCTTTGGGAATAACATTATGCAAAAAATATTGTTGAGATCTTAATTACCTTTTATTTGTGAAAAAAATCCTCATTTCTCGCCCACAATATCTTAATTACTTTATTTTGAATTAGAATCGTAGAAAATCTTCATAAGATAAAATCGAATTATATAACAAACCTCATTAATAACGCATATATAAAGATCCGCATTATTGGTTACCGATGATTACTGTTATTGTCATTATCATATATTTTGTTGAGATCTAACTTCCTTTTTTTAAGTGTTCTCAAATAAAAAAATCCTCAATTCTCGGTGACTAATATACTTTGCCAAATATACTTTCAAAAACCCTACTTTTATGAATATATGCGTAACCAGTATAAATATAGGATCAAACCATCTGTTTTTCACAAATCAATCCTATTTTACTTTACTCCCATCAAACAAAATCTTTTTCCCAAATGGCTCTCAATAACGTTTTCAAGGTCGTGTAAACTGTTAGTTTTACCTCTGATATCCTTAGTATATTTTATCATTCTTTGTATTTCACACTGAGATTGTCTGTAGCTGTTATTATTGTTTAGATATGATTTTCATATGTGTTGGTTTGTTATAATTTTTAGAATGGAGAATCTGACCTAAAGAGAATGGAAGAGCATGCAGCGGTTGGTCGTTCTTGAAGGGTGAATCTGGTGAAGTCATGGTTCGTTGTTTGCCAGAGGTAATGTAACATTTCTTAGATATTAGGTACATTAACAATAGAGATCCATAGACCATCGTATCAAGCTCTAGACCGTAAAAGTTAAAGGTTAACTTCTTCTCTTTTAAAACTGTTATTTTTTTTGAAAAAATAACTTCTTTTATTTTAGCCAAAAACTTTTGATATTGCTTACCATTTATAGACCCAGAGTTGAGGTTTTAACTAACTCAATTGATTTTTATGTCTTTACAGGATCATGCTTCTTCAACTAGGGTGAAGGTTTTTTCGAGTGAGCCATACTCTGTTCAATCAAGAATGTAGACAAGGGAAGTGGATCATCATTAACACATAAAAAGGACAAGAGCTTTGCCGGATTTTCTTAGTGATTTTGTTGAGGTTTGGCTTTTTCTGAATATTTTCCATTTTATTATAGTATAAATATTGATTTTCAACTAACAATAGTTTAGTTTAGTGGTTTCATTATATATATGATTTCATGATTCATGATTGATATTGGTTGTTTTATTATAGTATAAATATTGAGCATTGGGTTTTGTTGCAAGATTTTCTAGCCCTTGGTGGTCATCATTCATTCCATAAAATGAGAAATATATAAGTCTAGAAGTCATACCAAAAGATGAACCAAAGAATCAGTGACAGTGAGACATATTTGCAGAATTTTCCTAAGGGTGTTTAGGTTAGTTCATGCTTTTGGAGGTTACAAGAAATGTCATTGCATGTGAACGTACAATAGAAGGACCTTTGGACTCTGTCTGAATGTACAATGCAAGCAAATCACTCTTTTTTTTTTTATCACCTTTCTCATATTCAGTACTTAGCGAGCCATAGATTAATCTTCGTTTAGGATTCTGCAGTCATCATGGAAGTGAGCTGAGGATGTGAATGTCTACATGGTGGACTTGGTTTAGTAGAAAAAGGATAATTGAGGAAAAGAGACCTACTCAGTCTTACTGTTAAGAAGAATCTCTCTCTAATGGAGTTCTGAAATTTGTGTCGAGATTTATTTTGTTGTTCTCTTGTGAGTTGTGACTTTCATTGTAATTTTCTTGTAAGTAAAGAAAATTTTCAAGTCTTTAATTTCAAATGAGTATTATTAACAATATGAAATGAGTTGTTAGTAAATATTATCTTTATATAGAATTTCAAGGGTGGTTTGATTACATCTTTGGCGGATTGGTCCACCAAATCTCTATATTACTAAAAAAATGTACATAATAAGTTTTTGTCTTATGTTTTAACAGTATTTACTAAAAATGCTATTATAATGTATTTAAAGAGAATAAGGCTCATTAAAAGTAATTTGGGTTTAATATTTACCAAAAAAAAATTAGACGGGTCAGTGCAAATTCTTCTAAGTTGACCCGAGATTTTAAATTCGGATCCTTTTAGTCGGATCTTTTAACGGATCTAGGAGATAATATCCTTCATCTTTGATGAACTATGTATAATTTATACACTAAGGCCATTGAAAGCATAGGAGCGTACATACATATATACACTTGGTCGATAATCTATATATACATTTTTGGATCACAATTAGCAAATAAATCCTGGAGTTGGGAAGTATTTACAACTTATGTCATTGGCATTTATTATTAAGTTACAAAATTTAAATAAAAGATATTAACTAAACGATATCTTGCCTAATTTGTTTCTAAAAATCTCTACACAATCTTTCCATATATCTTCAAAAAAAATAAAATATGCATAAATCCGATTTATAGCAAATATTTATATCAACATTTTGCATAGCAATAAAAAAATACTAATTTATAATAATCAAAATATTCACATAGAAAAATCATATACACATACATGAAAAAGAACTATATATATCATCATTTAAGCCGTTGCTTTATTTAAATAAAAAAAAAAACACAAAAACTTGAAATCATATACTTTATATGATAAATTTAAAATATATATTAGTAGTATAAATTTAAAATCATTCAAGGAACGGTATACCACGGGTGAGATCCTAAAATTATTGGATTTTATAATAATAAGAATTTATTTTCTTGGATTTTACAACACTAATAATTTAGCTAACGGGATAATATAGATGGGTTTATATGGGATGACGGGTTTGGATCGATATTAATAAAGAACTGTTTATCACGGATGAAATCCTAAAATTAACAATCAAAATACAATTATGCAACCTTAAACACAAAACAAAACATACAATATTAACAAAATAAATACAAATTGAAATTTAAAAATTTTAGTTATAAAAAAATCGACCCACTGTATACCGCGGAGTAAAATATTCAAAATTTTAAAATCTACCATACATCGTTACTTAAAATGTATGTTTTCGAATCTATACTTCAAAAATTGAAACCTAAACAATAGTAATCATACACTAAATAATACATAGATAGATATCTACATTTAAAAATACAAATTATGATGATATATTTTCAGTTAATCTTTTAAAAAATAACATTATAGCCCCGCGGTGTACCGCGGGTTAAATTCTAGTAACGCCTTTAATTGTAGATTCGGGAAGATGATAAGCGAATAAGACGACGGCGTTTAATAATAGTTTCGTGTTTTCGACACAGTGGCAATGTTTTCATCTTCAATAAGGTTAATCGTATCTGGATTCCACCGGACTCAAACCCTAAAATCGCCGTTAAATTCTCCGAACGTTTGCATCTCCGTACCTAAATTATTCAACTCTGAATCAAATACGACGGGAACTGGTTCAAGATCCGTAGCGATGAGCAGCGTAGAGAAAACCGGGTCGGATTCGGGAGCAATCGAGAATCGAGCGAGCAGGATGAGAGAGAAGCTTCAAAAAGAGCTCGAACCAGTGGAGTTAGTGATCGAAGATGTTTCGTATCAGCACGCAGGTCACGCCGGAATGAAAGGTAGAACCGACGGAGAGACTCATTTCAATGTGAAGATCGTCTCTAAAGGATTCGAAGGAATGAATCTGGTGAAGAGACACAGGTTGGTCTACGATTTGCTCCGGGAAGAGTTGGATAGTGGATTACACGCGCTTTCTATCGTCTCCAAGACGCCGTCTGAGTCTCCTCCATAAGGCTAATAATGCCGGTACTGAATAATGTATCTTCTGTTTGCCCAAAAAAAAAAAGAATAATGTATCTTCTGTGACATTGATGATGCTTATTGAAGCTTAAAAGCTTAAGTTGTTGTTAAAAAACCCAGCTCTTTTCGATTCAAAGATTGAATTTTTCCCATCAACGGCTCTGTTTTGGATTTTATTGCGGAACCAAAGTTTTCATTTTTACATGCGCTTGAGGTTGTGTGTTGGTGTTTCTGGATTTGTGTGTTCGAAGAAAGACACTTGCTTTTAGTTCAATTCGACTTCTGTGTTTTCTAGAAATCACTCAAAACTTGATTGATCATAGCTTGATGAATTGATCTAGGCTCCATTTATTTGAAACTCCAATCAATGATAATGTGTTTGAATTTTCAAATGAAGCTCGTTTGTTAGCTTGGAGCCATAAGACCATCCGCAGTGGTGTAAGTGTGAGGGAGGGGTGTAAGATTTTTTTTATTATTATAATTTAAAGTGAGAGAGAAAAGAGAGAGAGAAAGAAAGAGAGAGAGAGAGATAGAGTGGCTTACACCCGAGTGTAAACTTACACCCGGGTGTAAAGAAAGAGACAACTTTTACATTATTTCTGTATTTTAAAATAATGTTTACACCCGCAAGGATACACCACTGCGGATGCCCTAAGGCTTGTTGCTTTTTTTTTCATGTTGCAGTCTCTTTCTTCTTCAGATTATTCTCCCATTGTCATCAATGGCGTTTGCGTCTTCTAATCGCTAACGCTAGAAACAAAACGCCTTTTCCAATAGTCCATGTCACCTTATTTAACAACAAATATATACTTTATGGGCTTAAACCAAGTTTAATCAGTGATCACCTTTTGATTTGTGGGTAAAACGAATCGTCATTCCATTACCTGGAGAAGCTAAACCGTCCCTCTTCTATAAGCTTATACATCAACAGACCGGACATAGTTACGTTAATATATGTCGGAAGATAAATAAAACAAACAAAAAAAACATCTTCATTCATCACTACATTGGCGATGAGAGAGCTTTCGGAGCTCAACAGAGACGATGATGAACACGTATGGCTCAAGCACTATTCATCCAAGCATCAGATACTTCTAGTAGGCGAAGGAGATTTCTCCTTCTCTTGCAGCTTAGCCACTTGCTTCGGCTCTGCTTCCAATATCTACGCTTCATCTCTCGATTCATACGGTAACACTTGGTTTGCTCACATTGTGAGAGTTTTTAGGATTTTTGGGTTTCTTTATTGAGCTTCCCGTGAATGATTGACTATTCAAGATTTGCATTGTTCTTTTGTTCCTCTCTGTTTATAGATTATAAACCTGTTAACAAAGGTTGTAGCTTTATGTTTGATTTCCTCAGTTGTTGCATGTCTTTTATGGTAATTGAAGCAGATGATGTTGTTAGAAAGTACAAGAAGGCAAGATCAAATCTTGAAACTTTGAAGAGACTTGGAGCTTTCCTTTTACATGGAGTTGATGCTACCAAACTGCTACTCCATCCTGATCTTCATTATAGAAGATTTGATCGTGTCATCTTCAACTTCCCGCACACCGGTTTCCACGGCAAAGAGTCTGATCCCTCTCAAATACAGTAAGCTCAACATTTTGACGTTTACATACACTTTCTTTTTGCAGTCGAATGTGTACATCAGCTGCTGCAACTTTGGGGATTTTTTAAAAGATTTATTACATGTTCATTGTCTGTAGGAAGCATAGGGAACTGGTGTTTGGATTCTTCCATGGTGCAAGCCATATGGTAAGAGCTGATGGAGAAGTTCATGTCTCTCACAAAAACAAAGCACCTTTTTGTCATTGGAATCTTGAGGAGCTCGCTAGCAGATGCTTTCTTGTGTTGATTCAACGTGTGCCATTCGAGAAGAGAAATTACCCTGGTTATGAGAATAAGAGGGGAGATGGGTCTAGATGTGACCAACCTTTTCTTTTGGGAGAGTGCAGTACTTTCAAGTTCAAATTCTCTCTTGTGGCTAAAGAGCTTTATGCAGAGAAGGTGAAAGGGAGAGAAGTGAAGGAAGGAGAATCAAAGTGTCCACAAGATTTTTCAACTCGGGCGATGAATAACAAACATGCCCATTTTGAAGATAGCTCGATACATCTTGAATTGCCCAGATGCACTGAAAGAACCAAACATCATCGTAAAGAACACTTTCTTGAATGCACTAAACGGTTCAATGGAGTTTCACTTGAAATGCATAATGGAGAATTACAAAGAGCGGTAACACGGACGAGCTTTCCTCATCAGTACACTAAAGAATCACAAGAAAGACACTCTCTGCTTTGTCAAGAACCGTTCCCCAAACGCTCTCTCCGCTTCAGTGGAGTTTCTCATGGAATTCATAAGGGGAGAGTACGAAAAATGTTGATACGGAACAGCTCTGGAGAATCACGAAAACGAAGGATGAGGAGGCAGAGGAACATTAAAATCAGGTAAATCCTTGATAGTTGCTTATGTTATGAAATAAGACACGCTAAATCGATACTGAAATTTTCTAGGTGACTGATCTCCAAATAATTTCAAGGAGCTTCTGAGGATAACTTTGATGGAAACAAGATGACTGAGACTTGTACTCACTAACAAAGCCTGCAGTCTATGTTCTCTTTTGTTTTTTAGGCTGATTACTGATAGCTCAAAACCGCAATGGTCTCTATATGGAGATGATTTTTGTTGTAATTTTGTGTATTTATCTGGTTATTACCTTTTGGAGATTATGAAATGATTGTGAGTCTTGCGACTTGCATTGTCTTAAGGAGAGATATCCCTGAAATTTCTCATTATTAACTCTCTTGTGATATATCCACTAAGACTCTACGCGTGGCCAGAAGGTTTGGTAGGACTACTAATAAGGTTTGGAATCGTACAACAAACAAAGTACTTTGTTTGTTGTAACTTATAAATATGGTTTTAATCAATTCTTGTAGACTCATATAAACACTTAAGCTTAACCCCTATTCCGAGCGGCAGAAAAACAATTTCATCTTCTAATCAAATCAAATAAATTAAACAAGTAACAAGGAATTGGTAGTAAAAGAAATGATATCAAATAAGTGAAGTGATTAAATAATTGGAAATGATAGTTTCAAGGAAAGTGCATGGAAATTGATAGTGAAAAAACTACGAAAAAAGGTTATTGGATTAATGATTTAGAGTTGATTTTCTTTGGAAATGATTTTCTAGCTATCAAATAAAACCATGATACATGGATAAAGTTACACTAGAACAAGTCACAAGATATTTGGGTTTTCAATGGATGTTGCGGACAGAAAGAACCAATTCATTAGCAAACTAGAGTAGGTCGGACAATAATACACAGTTGACCAATTTTATTTCTATGTAAAAGTGGTTCGTAGTTGATTCGCGATAGATTTCATTCGTTTGCATTACTACAGACTATAATTTATAAATAGTTAATAACGTGTGGTCTAATCTGCAAATGATTTTGTTCACCCCATTCGCTATCACCATTTGAAGCTTTGGTTTCTCGAAAAGCTATTACGTGGCAAGTCTCAATGACTCGACCAGCAAAAGAGTGTTCCCTGGTGTTGGTTTAAGTTTGAGTCAAGATTAATATTTGGTTTAGTATGGTTTACAAAAGAGATAAAGTTTTATGTATTTTAGGAGTTATCTAGAATACGATCCTTATCCAAGTGGGATTAGGTCTTAGAGATTTCTTATATAAGAGGTACCAAGGTTTGTGGTATACCCTTATGAGTTGAGAGATTGAGATTGTGAGTGCTTAAGGTTTTGAGTAAGTTTCCTCAAGCAATAAAGAAGAGAGTTCTTTATAATTCATAATCTTGTTCTTATATTTTGTGTTTTGATTCTTTAATTGGTAGCAGAGCACTATCGAATCAAGGCACCTAATACGAAAACAGAGTATCAACGATTGTGTTACAAGACAACGTGTTCAACGTGTTCTTGTAAAAGACCGAAACCATGGGAGACATAATTCCCGTAATCAAACCTAAAGAGATCAGTTCCTCCTCTATACAATGTCCAATGCTCACGGCAACAAACTATACAGTTTGGACCATGAGGATGAAACCGATGCTAAGGGTAAACAAAGCATGGGAAGCCATCGAACCCGGCTCAACTGATGGAGACTTGAACGACTTAGCGAAAGTTCTTATCTTCCAATCAATACCAGAATCGCTTATCCTGCAGGTTGGTGAGTATGCGACTGCAAAAGAAGTATAGAACGCCATCAAAACAAGACATGTAGGTGCAAACAGAGTCAAAGAAGCTCGGCTTCAAACCCTAATGTCAGAATTTGATCGACTTAAGATGAAAGATACAGAGAGTATCGACGAGTTTGCAGGGAAACTCTCTGAAATCTCCACCAATTCTGCAGCTTTAGGAGAGAAAATTGATGAGACAAAGCTAGTCAAGAAATTTCTGTCTTCTGTACCAAGAAAGAAATACATTCATATCGTGGCCTCACTTGAACAAGTACTTGACCTCAAGGCAACAGGCTTTGAAGATATAGTGGGGAGATTAAAGGCTTATGAAGACAGAGTTCTTGGTGAAGAAGAAGAACAGACGAATGATCAAGGAAAACTCATGTATGCAAATCATGAGTCACAGTCTTATCAAGGAAACTATGGAGGTGGAAGAGGAAGAGGAGGCAGATATCCTCAAACAGGAAGAGGCCGGGGTCGTTTTGGAAATCAATACGGAGGAAATCGACAAGAAAGAGATAAATCCAAGGTAGTTTGCTACCGTTGTGACAAGCTGGGTCACTTTGCGTCAAACTGCCCGGATAGGATACTTAAACTACAGGAAGCACAAGAAAATAATGATGATGACACTCAAGAAGCTGAAGAGTTAATGGTACATGAGGTGGTTTATTTGAATGAGAAGAACGTGAAGCCAAGCGTCTTTGAAACACAAACGGATGGAAAGAATGTATGGTATCTAGATAATGGTGCAAGCAACCACATGTCTGGTAACAGAGAGTATTTTTCTAAAATTGATGAGACAGTCACTGGAAAGGTGAGATTTGGTGATGATTCAAGAATAGACATAAAAGGAAAAGGTTCTGTTCTATTTGTTAGCAAGAACAATGAGAGAAAAATACTAGCAGATGTGTACTTTATACCAGATTTGAAAAGCAACATCATTAGTCTAGGTCAAGCAACTGAATCAGGGTGTGATGTGAGGATGAAAGAAGACTTTCTTACGGTTCATGACAAAGATGGAAGGTTGTTGGTGAAAGCTAAACGGTCAAAGAACCGGCTTTATAAAGTTCTTATGGAACTTGAACCCGAAAAGTGTTTACAAGCAGAAACTGTGAGTGAGTCAACAAGGTGGCATGCAAGATTTGGACACATTGGACTAGAAACAATGAAAACTATGGTGAAAAATGAGCTGGTCACAGGCTTACCATCGATTAAAATTGAGAAAGAAACATGTGCTTCTTGCTTACTTGGAAAACAAGTGAGAAAAGTTTTTCCACAAGCAACTTCATATCGTGCTAAAGAGAAGCTCGAGCTCATTCATGGTGATCTTTGCGGACCTATCACGCCTCAAACTAGTGCTCGTAACAAGTATGTGTTTGTGCTCATTGATGACCATTCTCGCTATATGTGGTCTATACTCTTAAAAGAGAAAAGTGAAGCTTTTGAAAAGTTTAAGAAATTCAAGAGTCTAGTTGAGCAAGAAACCGGAGCCACCATCAAGACTTTCAGAACAGATAGGGGAGGAGAGTTCGTGTCACAAGAGTTCCAATCGTTTTGTGACAATGCCGGAATTCAAAGACATCTCACTGCGCCTTATACTCCGCAACAGAATGGAGTAGTGGAGAGACGAAATCGGACACTCATGGAGATGACAAGGAGCATTCTCAAGCATATGAACATGCCAAACTACTTATGGGGAGAGGCCGTAAGACACGCTACATATGTGATAAATCGTGTTGGAACAAGAGTCTTGAGCACAAAGACTCCGTATGAAGCTTTCAAGGGAAGAAAGCCAAATGTTGATCACTTGCGTATATTTGGTTGTGTTGGATATGCAAAAACAGAGTCCTCACATCTAAGAAAGTTGGATGATCGATCTCGGGCTCTAGTTCATTTAGGCACCGAACCTGGCTCAAAAGCTTATAGATTATTGGATCCAACCACAAGAAAAATAACTGTGAGTAGGGACGTAGTCTTTGATGAGGAGAAAAGCTGGAAGTGGAATCATCTAAGAAAGGAGTCTGTTGAAGAATTTGAAACCTTTAAGGTAAGTATTGGAGAATTTGGAAACAATGGATTAAGGGAGGATCAGAATCAGACAATAAGGGAACCAAACATCACTGAAGAACGTGATGAAGAAGTAAGAAGCGGGTCTGAGAGTGCAGGGGAAAATAATGACCCCGAGGAAGAAACAGAGGAGGAGGTTGTAGATCATGAACAGAGTCCACGTCAAATTCTGCCTGCACCAGTTTTAAGAACTTCACAGAGACAAGTAACAAGACCCAAGTACTTAAACGACTATGTACTTCTTGCTGAAATCGAAAGTGAACGCCTCTTAATGGTCTTAGATGAGGAACCATGGGACTATGAAGAAGCAAAGACTATGAAAGAATGGAGAGAAGCATGTTCAGATGAAATCTCGTCTATTACAAAGAACAACACTTGGAATTTAGTTGATCTTCCTAGTGGTGTTAAGCCAATTGGACTGAAATGGGTGTTCAAAATCAAGAGAAATTCGGATGGTAGCATAAACAAATACAAGGCGAGGCTAGTTGCAAAGGGCTATGTGCAAAAACATGGAATTGACTTCGATGAAGTGTTTGCTCCGGTGGCACGAATTGAGACAATTAGATTCATCATAGCCTTGGCAGCTTCAAATGGATGGGAGGTGCATCATTTGGATGTAAAAACTGCATTCTTACACGGTGAGTTAAAGGAGACCGTGTTTGTCTCACAACCAGAGGGTTTCGTATCAGAAGAGAATAAAAATAAAGTGTACAAGCTGAATAAGGCACTTTAGGGCTTAGACAAGCACCACGGGCATGGAACACTAAGCTAAACAAGATACTTAAGGAGTTAAGCTTTGTAAAATGCTCAAAGGAACCTTCCTTGTACCAAAAGCAAGAGAACGAGCATACCCTTGTTGTGGCTGTTTATGTTGATGATTTACTTGTCACAGGGTCTAGCTTAGATCAAATTGTTGAGTTCAAGAAATGAATGGCCTCAAAATTTGAAATGAGTGATCTTGGTCTGTTAACTTACTATCTTGGCATTGAAGTGTTTCAGCATGATAAGGGAATCATCATGAAACAGGGAAGATATGCTGAGAAAATACTTGAAGAAGCCAAGATGGGAAACTGTAATGCCGTTCACATACCAATGGACTCCGGGTTAAAACTTTCAAAAGCAGAGAACGAGAAGAGCATCGATGAGAAGGAGTTTAGGAGGAACATTGGATGTCTCAGATATTTGCTCCACACGCGACCAGACCTCTCATTTAGTGTTGGTGTATTGAGTAGGTACTTGCAAGATCCAAAGGAGTCTCACGGAGCGGCGCTAAAACAAATTCTGAGATATTTGCGTGGTACTTCTTCGTATGGACTATCATTTACTCGGGGAGCTAAGCAAGGATTGATAGGATACAGTGACAGTAGCCACAACGTGGACGAAGACGATGGTAAAAGCACCACTGGTCACATATTTTACCTTGGAGATTGTCCTATTACTTGGTGCACTAAGAAGCAAGACACGGTAGCTCTGTCCTCTTGTGAGGCAGAGTTTATGGCTGCGACGGAGGCTGCTAAACAGGCTATTTGGCTTCAAGATCTTCTGGAAGAAGTTACCGGGGATCCAATAGAACGAGTAATGCTTCGGATTGATAACAAATCTGCAATTGCCCTTGCCAAGAACCCGGTGTTCCATGGACGTAGCAAACACATACATAAGAGATATAATTTTATTCGGGAGTGTGTTGTGAATGAGCTAGTGGATGTAGAGCATGTCCCGGGAGAAGAGCAAAAGGCCGATATTCTAACCAAGGCACTAGGAAGGATCAAGTTCAAGGAGATGAGAGAACTTGTTGGGATTCAAGATGTGTCAAAGTGTGATCTCAAACTTAAGGGGGTGAATGTTGGTTTAAGTTTGAGTCAAGATTAATATTTGGTTTAGTATGGTTTACAAAAGAGATAAAGTTTTATGTATTTTAGGAGTTATCTAGAATACGATCCTTATCCAAGTGGGATTAGGTCTTAGAGATTTCTTATATAAGAGGTACCAAGGTTTGTGGTATACCCTTATGAGTTGAGAGATTGAGATTGTGAGTGCTTAAGGTTTTGAGTAAGTTTCCTCAAGCAATAAAGAAGAGAGTTCTTTATAATTCATAATCTTGTTCTTATATTTTGTGTTTTGATTCTTTACCTGGAACCGAGTTTCATAATCATTTTGGCTTGCTCGGTTTAACCGCAATGGGTGCGAATGCGGGAGATAATGAAAGCAGGCAGTTGCGGTTTCATACGTTTATTAAACGAGGTAGTCACTTAAGTACCCCCATTACTGCGTTTGTGTTTAATTTCTTGTCGCTAACGCTATAAACAGAACGCATTTTCCAATCATTCAATACACTAAAGCCTCTTTATGAGCAACAGAGATACTTTTACACTTAAATTGGCTTAATAAACAAAATTGATCGCCTTTAGTTTTTTTTGGTGTAGAAATCCTAATCGTTGTTTCCATTTTTCGATAGATGAGAAACTCAACCGTCTCTCTTCTCTAATAAACGTTACTTTTATTTTTGAAAATTAAAAAAACAAAAACTTTGCAAAGTTCCATCCTTTATCGCTCCAATGGCGATGAGAGAGCTCTCGAAGCTTACCAGCAGAGAAAGAGACAATGATGAAGAAGAAGAAGAAGTGTGGGTCAAACACTATTCATCGAACCATCAGATACTTCTGGTCGGCGAAGGAGATTTCTCATTCTCTCACAGCTTAGCCACTCTCTTCGGCTCTGCTTCCAATATCTGCGCTTCCTCTCTCGATTCATACGGTAACACTTGGTTTGCTCACATTGTGAGAGTTTTTAGGGTTTTGATTTCGTTTTCGCTTGAGTTTTCTGTGACTGAGATTTTAGGGTTTTTAAGTCACTATTTTAGCAAGAGATCACTCTTAAAGTTTGGTCACACTTGTCTGTGAGAAGAAGAATCGAAATCAATTTCTAGTGTAAACTACTGATTATGGAGCTGCCGGTGAAAGATGTGATTTTTCAGCTTTGTACTGATTATAAACCTGATTTAAAGGTTGTAGCTTTAAGCTTAATTTCCTCTGTCTTTTGTGGTGATTGAAGCAGATGTTGTGGTTAGAAAGTACAAGAAGGCAAGATCAAACCTTGAAACTTTGAAGAGACTTGGAGCTTTACTTTTACATGGAGTTGATGCTACCACACTGCATTTTCATCCTGATCTTCGCTATAGAAGATTTGATCGCATCATCTTCAACTTCCCGCACGCCGGTTTCCACGGCAGAGAGTCTGATTCCTCTCTTATACGGTAAGTTCAACGATTTGGTGTTACAGATATGGTCTTCTTGCGGTTGAGTGTGTAGACCAGCTGGTGCAACTTTGAGGAATTTGTGTAAAGAATTTTTAGATGTTCTTTGTCTTTCTGTTTTGTTGTAGGAAGCATAGAGAACTGGTGTTTGGATTTTTCAATAGTGCAAGCCGTTTGCTAAGAGCTAATGGAGAAGTTCATGTCTCTCACAAGAACAAAGCACCTTTTTGTAACTGGAATCTCGAGGAGCTCGCTAGCAGATGCTTTCTTGTGTTGATTCAACGTGTGGCGTTCGAGAAGAGCAATTACCCTGGTTATGAGAATAAGAGAGGAGATGGGTCTAGATGTGATAAGCCTTTCCTTTTGGGAGAGTGCAGTACTTTCAAGTTCAGATTATCTCGTGTCGCTAAGGAACTTTATGCAGAGAAAGTAAAATCGAGAGAAGTGAAGGAACAAGAATCAAGTTGTGCCCAAGCTTTTATAAATACGCAGCCAGTGTCATTTGATCATGGGTATCCCCTCCAAACAGAATTTCACGGTGTTAGCCATAGACCAGTTTCGTTTGATCTCAGCTATCGTGGGGACTATAACCTTAGGCAAGTCCAAGATCCTTTGGTTCAATCAAGAGAAAGGACATCTCCATTGGATCTTTGTTATTACCAAGAACATAGACGTTTACAGTTCGAAAATGCCCGGTTTGCTGTTGGAAGAAACCATGCCCGGTTTCTAGAAAACTCAATAGAGCTGGAAAAGTTCAGATACACTGAAAGAAGCAGCCTGCTTTGTCAAGATTTTCCTTTTCAATTAAATCATGATCGTCAAGAACAGTTCCATGAAAGCTCTAACCGCCTCAACAGAGGTTCGCCGGATATTTACAATCAGATAATACAAAAAATGTTAACACGGACGAGGTTTCCTCATCTGTACGCTGGAGAATCGCCAGAAAGACGCCACCTGCTTTGTCAAGACTTTCCAGTTCAAGCTAGGCAAGAACCACCATTTGGATTCTCTAACCGCTTTAGTGGAGTTTCTCATGAAATTTATAAGTGGGAAGTACCAAGAATGTTAACAAGTACCAGTTTTCCTCATCCGTACACTGGAGAATCACAAGAACGAAGCTTGACTAGGCAGAGCAACCTCAACTCTCACCCTCCACACCACTGGTAAATTGTTATTCTTTGCGTATATTATGAAAACAAAAGCTAAATCGATATGAAAATTTCCAGGTAACTTATCTTCAAAAGAACTTCTCAGGATACTTTGATGGAAACAAGTTGAGTGAAGCTTGGAGTGACTCAATAATCTCTAAGAATCGCGTAATTTTATGTTCTGTTTCTTAGCAATTAGCATGGCAGTAAGTTAACTACTGAACTCAAAACTGCGAAGATCTCGATATGGAGATTGTATTTTGGGGTAATTTTGTGTATATATTTAGTTTTTGAAGAATATGCATTAGAAATGGTTGTGACTTGCATTGTCTTAAGGAGATAATTATCTTTATCACTGTACTTCTGTAAAATCATTTCTCAGTTAATAACCTTTTAACAGTCTCTCCTAATGATTCACTCGAAGACATTACCTGGACCAGAAGCTTCGATAACTTACGAATACGATTTTATAATAAATTATAGCAACTTACGTACAATATATGGTTTGTATCATTTCTTGTAGACTAATATAAACGTGTAAGCTTAGCCGACAAGGCAACAATCACTATCAGCAACTCTTCAATTTCAACTTCTTATCAAATCAAGTAATTAAATAAGTAATTGATAATTGAAAAATGAAAATGTCAAGCAAAATTGCACGGAAATTGATAGTGAAAAAACTAATAAAACTGTTTAAATTTCCAGGAATTTGCTTATGACTGAGTCTATAGTCCCGCGTGAATTATACGCATTATCTATCATATAAATTCTAAAATTACTACGAAACAGTTTCTATCATTTGAATTTAAATATTTAAACTTCCTTATTAAGTTATTATTAAATTTATGATCTTTGTCGTTGTAATAGGTTCTTGTCAATTCTATAAGACTAGTTGATCCTTGTTCGTATATATACACTAATGATTCAATAGAGCATAAACACTCATCGCATTTTTATTTACACCTAAATAGTCTAGCAAATCTTGGTATCTCTCCTCAATCACACACCGATATCGGAATATTCTCTCCGGTGATTTATTCCGGCAATATGTCGAAGGTAACTACCGTTGTTCCCTTATCTGTTCCTTTTTCTTTATCTAGTTTCTTGCGAAACACGGAACTTATATTTGTTTATTGTCGTTCTTTCTTCAGCAACGGATAGTTTTGAAGATGGATATGAGTAACAATGAGAAATCTATAAAGAAAGCTATGAAAATCGCATCTGCAAAATCTGGTAAACATCTCTACTCTAAGACTTCTTTTGCAAGTAACTTGTGAACCAAGTTAGGTCACATGAATCGTTTCATCAACTTTGTTTGTTTACGCGCAGGTGTGAGATCGGTCTCGATTCAGGGACAGAACGATCAGTTGGTTTTATTGGGAGAAGGTATTGACTTAGCGGAGCTTACCCGTGAGCTCAAGAAGAAAGTGTGCCACACGACTATCATTACCGTTCAGGCGGCGCCGCCGCAGCAGCCACCGCAGCCTCATCAAATGGGCCAATATAACCAGATGCCTCCGCCGAGAAGATGTACCTGTGAGATACCAAACTCAGGTTTCTGCGGATTTTGTAGGTCTATGAGTCAACACAATTATCAGGTGGTACCATCGCCGTATTATCCTCCGGTGCTCTATTGTCGTGATGAGTCCGATGGATGTAGAATATTGTGATGTGACGTTTTGAGTGATTTTTGTTGAGTTTTTTTATTGAAAAAAAATCATTTTCTTAATTTTCTGATCATATGATATTGTAAAAAGAAAATTGTTAAATTCGTTGTGCTGTAAATGTTTTGTTTTTTGTTTTTGATTAACTGCTGTAAATGTTGTGACAGTGGATTATTTTTATAAGAAAATAACAAAAAAAAAAACTTTGGTTAGTGAGAAAAAGAAGAATATATATGCGTTAGTTTTCCTGTTACATTTGTTATTTTGTAAATGCAAATGTAGAAAGGGTATATACAACTTTGTTTATTTTTAAGTCTTTCATATAGAAATGTAAGTTGTGTTTATTAATTGTAACGTGGTGAAGTCAAGAGTCCACGAGGCCACGAATATCATATTTAAAAGACTTTGCTTTGTTGACATCTGCAATTAGGACTGGATCGTGGATAGAGATGTATTTTTAAGTTCCAAATTAAAAATTAAATAATGTTTTTAAGTTCTAATCATTCCTTAAACTTTCCTTATATTCTCTGCCTCAAACACGGGAAGCGTTACCATGTCACATCGTCATTCGTCAATATATCAAAAAAGGAATTATTGCATAATAAGGCACTTTGTGGGACTTATTTGTGCCATTAGGCACTTTCAAGGGAGAAGGCACTCTCTCTTTGCCAAATCTCCATTATACCCTCCAATCCGGTTCTACAGCCGGTTCTGTTTCTCTTCCTACAAACCGAACCTGGTTTGCCTTTGTCTCTATCCTCCCCACTGTAAACTTATTACGCTTTTCCCCCACTGTAAAAAACCCTAATTTCTTCTCCCAACTTCTTTACCGTTTCTTGATTCTCCCGTTTAAAGCTCAAATCTGACCCGCCATTTCCTTGGTTTCCGTCAGCTCTCCGGCCATTTACGCTCTCTCGTCAACTCACCGCCGTCGCACGGTTTCCCTACTTCATCGCTTTCGTAGTGCTGTACATCAGAAACTCCACGCATCTCCCTAATGGAAGGTAATTATTGAACCCAATGCTCATGTTCTCATAACTAATTTATGCAATTAACCAGTTCAAAAACCAACTGCAGCCTCGACTTCAAAGCAAGCTTCTTCAGAATGGGATTTAAATCTTCCCACTCGACTTTTCGCCACTGATCGTTATCCCAAAGCGAGGCTAAATGTCTATTGTAAACCCGACATTCTTTCGTTTATCCGGTCTATTTTCCATGGGACACCGGAATTCGACACTATTCTGCAATCTTGCTTCGGTCCTCTCTTCGACTTGCCGGTAAGTAGAAGCCCTAGTTCTTGCAAGCTGATACATTCTTTGCTATGTAGGCAGTTGATAACCAAACAGAAGTATGAATTATGGACTGTGTTTGGTGGACAACCCCTTAGATTTTCCCTAATTGAATTTGGTGCTTTAACTGGTTTGCCCTGCGGTGAATTTCTAGAGGACTATGATCCAGAAAGTGAGCCAACTTATGTTGAAGGGCAGGATTGTTACTGGAACGAGTTAATAGGGAAAGATAAGGACGCAACCTTAGGTGATGTATCTGAAATGCTCCTCAAACCCAAAAAACCCTTGTCTCCTGAACACAGAGTTAAGCTTGCGTATCTCCTCATTGTTGATGGTGTCCTCATATCCTCAAACCAAACTGGGAGGCCCACATTTAAATATGTTGAGATGTTGGCAGATATTGAAGCGTTCCTTGCCTTCCCTTGGGGTAGAGAGTCATTTATGAAGACAATAGCATCCATGAGACCCGGGAAACGTATTGTACCATCAGGCACTGGGAAAAAATTGGTGTCAACTGATCCTGTGAAGAATTTCGCCAAACAACTTCAGCAGATCACATTCCGTCTGAAAGGTTTTCCGCTTGCGTTGCAACTCCTAGCATTTAGAAACATTCCTGGCATGGTTGATTTGGTCACTGATGATTCCACCTCAATGACTATCCAACACTGGAATAAAGTCTCTCTGCCAAAACAATTAATTTCTCTTTCACAAATACACGCTCTTGAGCACCACCTGAAGGTATAAGTTTCCAACCTAGGTATTTTCATCTTTACATTCCCTCTTTGTTACTCAATTTACCCTTCTGTTTGGTCAGGACAAAGTGGATCCTTACATTATTCTTGGACAAAATGTTGACAAATCTTGGGGGGAGTGGGATGATGAGGTGAAAGACAAGAAAGTAGCTTATATGTCGGAACTGATACTCAGATCAAATAAATTCAATAAATCTGAATGGCCAGGAGGTGATGACTCATTACCATTCATTTCTATCCCAAAAGAGAAAGTCGCAGTTGTTCATAAAAGGCACATTGTCGAGCGTAAAAAGAAACCAGGGCAGAAGAAATCTAACACGCCACTACGTGTGAAGTCTCAGTCTCCAAAATCAAAGCATCGCTATGCTACCCGTAGCCGGTCTTCTCTAACTCTATGTGATGATGAAAATTCTTCTTTAATGGTGGAACTGAAAAACCAAGTGGCAGAGCTATCAAAGCGTGTATTGAAGCTAGAAAAAATAAATAAGGCAATCATATTCAAGCGCTCTAGAAAACTCTCTTCTAGATCTGGTCAATATGCCTCCAGATCCAGGCGCATGACGCAAGCTAAAGTTCCTGTTAAATCTCAGACCACTCCGGATGATATGTCCAATGAGGTATTTATCTTACCCCTTCCTTGAATGACACTGTTTGCCCCTCACCTTATGGAAACAACTTCTATTTCTTACCAGAATGATCGATCAAGCAATGAATTTTTATCAAACCCACACATACATGAAGGCTTTCTTATGGAGGTTTATAGCTTCTACCACTCACATAGCTATGACTATAACTATAATATTAATATAAAAAGTGGTTTAACATTACAGGATCCCTGCGCAACCAAAGTCAATGCTGACAATTTGGGATCACAATCAGACAATGATTTGCCTATGGCAAACAATAATGAAGGCTACACCAATCAGTCCGAATATAACTCCGGGATCGAGCAAACAAACACTGATTTGGATATGGAGGTATGACTGTTTTATATTTTTTGTTTCCTACTTATTGTGTAACAATATCTATATAATATTAAACATTTTTTACCTTTCTAAACAGCCACAATCCAACAAGAATTTCGATACATCGGATGTCCCACCTCAATCTCCTGAAGATATATTGGTTGGTGATGGAGTTCAGCACAACTGGAAACAATACCGGGAGGTATTTGGCCAGTTGGGCATCCATGATGTGGTTGATGGTTTTGTCGAGGACTCCATTGAAAGAACGACATTTAAAACCCCGGTATGTGTTCTGGTTTATTGCTACTCTTTAAACTTACCCTTTAATTAATCATTGCTTCACATATGACAATCAGGTGCTTGGTGATGACCCCATGGATGTCTTGATTACCCCACTCCCATCAGAAGAGCCTAATAAGCCTGATACACATCAAGGAAATCCCATTTATGACACTGCCAACAAAGATTCCCTTTGTTTGAATACCCCTTCTGCTCTCGAGGGTAACGAATACAATCCATCTTGCTCCAAGGTATAATTGCACACATATACATGTGTGGTTAGTATTAAACGCGACCATTCCAGTTTTTTTCCTCTCTTGTTTAACAGTTCAACCTAACTATTCTTACAGGTTAAGCACATTGATTATGATCCCAGTTTCGATAAAAGTGACAACCTAACTGCCATCAAATCTCCAATGGCTGCTGACATTATTCAACCTCTTACAACGAAGCTTCAAAAACAATTTGAGGTACTACAACCTAACTGCCATCAAATCTTCTCATAAACTGCATTCTATATTAGGACTACAAGCCCGAGAATTTGTGCAACCGAACATAGTTGATATGTGTATTCTAACCATTATCTTTAAATTTCAACTCCAAGGATGAATTCTATAGATTATGTTCACCTCAGTCTGTGGTAGATACCTCCAGGCAACCCAAAGCTGCATATAACCCTCTTAAGGTCTACCTTCAAACAATATATCATAGTTACCATCTGTTTCTTGATATGATGGACAGGAATTTCTGGTCACTTTTATAAACTATATAATGTGAACACATACCATAATTTCCAAATAAATCTCTTACAATTTTTTAAATTATATCAGGAAACATTGGCTACTGTCCCTGTGTCTGAATATGTTATAGACACACGTGTTGAACCAATGGATGAAGATAATCCACTGAAGGTCCCGTATTTTTTTTCATTATTCCTTTTTGCAGTCCAATTGGTCTCTTGTGTGTTTCTAAAACTGCTCATTATAATATATACCACTATAATATTGATAGTTATTTGATTTATTTGTTGTTTGCAGCCTTTGGTATTTGCTGAAGATGTCACAATAAAGGTATACCTTCAAAAACAGCTAGTAGTTTCCGAGTGTGTCTTGTTATAATGGTCAGGAATTAATGGATAATTGTTTTAACTTATCTATTTGACCATTTTCCTTTTGCTAATACACTCAGGAAACATTGGTTAGTGTTATTGCATCTCAGAAAATGATTGATACACCTATGCAACAAATCTCTGAAGATAATCCACTGCAGGTCTTCTCTTCTCCTAAACTTTGCCAGTATTGTATAACGTGTATTTAAAGTTTTTTGTATACCAATTCCCAAATTCTTATGTGTATTTCTACTTATACTCACAGGACCACGTAAAGATTGTTCATACCCCTGATACATTAATTTCCCAAGCAAATTTAAATATGGTCTACCTTAAAAATTCTCATACCCTTATTTTAGAGGTCGCCGTATAAATGCCTTCTTCATTTTTATTATTTCTGTTTGTAGGCATTGGTATTTGTGGGGGATCTTGTTTTTGATACCACATCCAAATCAGAGATAAACAACCAATCATCCCCAACTGATGTATGGACATATTATCTCTGCCTATGAACTATTTCAGTCATTCTTTACTTTTTACCATCTAATCCCATTAACTTTACAATGTTTTCCATATTGGTTCAGGGTAAACTCTTCTTAAGGGAAAACATTGATGGACAAAACATTGTGGATAATCAGGTTTACTTATAATTTTATCCTTTTATAAATAAAACAAGTTTATATTGATATTGACTTTTAAATTTCGATTTCTCCTTTATCTTCAGGACAAAGAAGATTCTATTGTTAGTCTTTCATATGTATTTTCTATTTTGTTTCCTCCTACTTTGGTCTTTTTAATCTAACAGTATTATGATTGCTTATTTTATTTTATCTTCCAGGATAATAACTCGCAACTGTCTAACACATCTGACCCTATAGAAGAGGATTTAGTTGATGTTTCAGATTCATCACCAGCACGATCGAGAGAAAAACCTATTCTTTCGGAAGCTGAGTCTTTTCTTGTAGCTGAGTTTTTATCAAAACCAAAAATGGAGGCATACCAACTTTTACCACTCCTAAAAAAGGCAGATTATGCCCATTTTTTGGACACCCTTTCATCAGCTCCTAATACGTATGCATACACTGTAATTTTTTTCTTAAATCCTCACATGTGGTCATTAAGGCACCTAAACTATCCTTGTTACTCCTCTCAGGGAACATGTTACGGATTCTGGATTCCTATTTCCCAACTCATTCCTCCTCAAGCTTGCAAAACCTCAAAATTGGGTTTCAACTCTGGTAACTATATTTTATTTTCAACTCATTGTTCTGTATTTAGCTAGTACTCAGAGATATTAATATATTATTCTTTCTTTCCACAGCACATGGAGGTTTTAGTGGAGTTACTTTCTAGTAGGCTTGCAACAAGACTTGCCACACAGCGTGCTGCTTTTGTTGAACCATGGTTTGCTAACCATTTACAAGGAAAATACAAATCTTTCAAAGCAGCAAAAATCAAATCTCGCGTCCGCTGGTCCGATCCCATGAAACGCTTTATCGTTGGCCCCACCACCGAGTGGTTCACAGACATTGATACCATTTATGTACCTATGATCTGGAATTCTTCCCACTGGGTAGGCCTTTCAATCAATCTAGGAGTCTGGGAAGTTGAAATTCTCGACCCAAATACTGACCTCAATCCGGAGGAAAAAGTTAAAGAATTTATCGAGCCTGTGGTTACCCTTTTGCCACACCTCATCCAGAGGTACTGTAAGCCCGCATGTTCCCAGAACCATGGACTAAAACCTTTCCTGTGGAGGCGAATACATGGTGTATACAAGAATGTTAGATCTGGTGACTGTGGCCCCGTTGCTATGAAATTTCTTGAGATAATGGCAAGTGATAAACTCCCAGACCAAATGGAGAAAATCACTGACAAACACGTTGACTCTTTCAGGCGTCAATATGCAATGGACATTTATGAGCATTTGGTCTGTCCTGTTTATGCATCTGACTTTGCGGCCTAGTGTCTACATGTTTCCCAAGTTTCTGTTTGTAGTCGTAACCATCATTTCCCTTCTTTCCTACTATATTCCTGTGGATACTGGCGCCTACTATGTTTTTCTGTATTATGTACTCTGTACCCAAACTACTATTTTCTCTGTATTTCATTTTGTCTACATCCTATCTTGCCATCCATATTAATTCATCCATTGTTACAGTCGTTTTAGGACTCTATACTAACATTATTCTTATCTATTATCCGTTACCAGTTCTTCACAAGAACTGAGTCTTAACAAAAAGGATTACTTGAGTCGGATGAAACATAATGGAAACATAATTCATAGAATAAGTAGTCCCACACATACATTACATTTCATAATGAAATCTACTAAATCTACTCTCAACTGAATAATACATAGAATCCGACAGCCACGATTAAACCACCAAAGATAAATACTTTGTTCTTCACACAAATATCTTCTCTATCTTTCCCACATAGCAACAGTCCACACTTAAGACCTTCAATCTCTTTCTGGGTTTGTTCCTTAAATTCTTCAAATTCTTTGAATTTCTTCTCTATCACTTCCAAGTCTTCTTCCAGAGTCTTAACCACCCTTTCAACACTTTCCATCTCTTCAACCATGGATATGTCGGTCCACTTAAACAAATGATTCTTACTCTAAATTGGGCAAAACGAAATTTTAATCAAATGTTAACAAATAAATCAGCTTTTCCTATTTATGTTGCTTATCTGCTTACCTCCTCCGATCCGTAAGGACAACAATGAAAGAGTCTACCAGGATTTTTCGGGGTCTTTGAAGTCTTCATCACAGATAATTGGCCACATGTACATTGCCGAGGGATTCCACTCACGGTGTGAGAGGACCGGTTGCTCACTCCTTCACCAGATCAAAAAGATATCATCATTTATCTCGATAATAGCTTTTTCCAGAATTTTTACCATTTAAATTATAGATTACTCACCTCCACTTTCGCTTGACGACATCGTGTTTCCTACTCCGGAATATCAGAATCTATATGGAAAAAATATCTAAAAGAAAAGCTCCGGATTATCGTTTTTGGGGGAGGTTTGATTATATGCGACGCCGTTTAAATATAAATATTTTTAAACGTGGATTTCTAGTATTGGACACCTTAACTAATTCCATTCACAATATGTTATGTGATATATATACTTATTTTTGGACATCTCTACGACATTTAAAAAGACAAACTTTTTTAATAAATTATGTTGTTTGTATAATTATAATCAAAATTGTATTTGTAGATAATTAATATCCATACCAACTTTGTATAATCGTAATTTTATGTATTATTTCTTATAAATTGGGGATAAATAGAAATATATGATTACTAATCCATTAAGTCTTAACCAAATGGCTAGAATTTAAAAATATCTTTCTACACATTGGACAAAATTAGTCAACATAATTAGGTTAAGACATAAGAGCGGTAAATTTCCCTCCATTTCCGATTTCAACGTCGTAAGTCTATCTCAATATTATATTGATTTTTCTATATATATAATTATAATTTATTTCGTTGGAGTCAAATCAACACAACACAAAATGATCAATCTAACACACCTCCATAGCTATGAACCACCATCCGGTATTGATGAGAAAAAGGTAATTTAGCTTCACCTAATAGAAACTAATAATTATTTCTGGCGATTTCCACTTATACAAATTTTATAGTTCATCATTCTATTTCCTAGGATAATTCAATCCCAACTTTCCACATGCCCGCTGTCTACTCACTGGAAACTCTTCATTCTGTCCGGCTTGACCGATCTCGGAATTTCATGTGGTGGTCGATGCCACATTCAATCTATTATCGTTTTTATAGTAAATGTCTTCTAGCAAACAATCGCTATGCTATGACTGCCGAAAGGAATAGAGGGATAGCATATGAGAACTTGGTTGAAGAATGCTATAGACCAGGATTATGGGCTGAGTCATATGGAGAGGATGGCGGATGGTTTCAAATAGATGGTGCTTACTGGGTTCCTCCTAGGAAACAAAGGAGGGTGGGGACTCCTAGGTGCTACTTTACTATCTGTCCCAATCTTTGAAATTAAAATGTAAGGTTCTGTATTTTGTTTTTCTCTAATGGGAGGATGGAATAATAGGCCTCTTTCTGATTAATGTTGTATTTCTTAATTGCTCCACTCTTCAGACAACGTCTGGATAATGTGTTATCCATCGATTATCTGTCCATCGACCGAGAACATTAATTACGGCAAGTCTCGGATATAATTCTGTAGTTCTTATTAAAGTCCATGTTTTGTACAACATGGTTAAAGTCTCAAAAATGGTTTTATGTGTACTTGTTAATTATCCCAGTAACTAATGTAAAACCCAATCTATTACTAAAGAAGAGTTAACAGTGAAAAGTTGAAATCATTATGGGGGGAAATTTCCCGCACAAATTTTAGATGGGCAGATTTAACATATGAGTTGACCTAATTAGCTAGATTGTTAATAACGTGTCCAAATCGATATAGCCAAAGTATATTGTCCATCTGGTTTAATAAAGTACTTAGGGTTAGTTAAATTTGGTTTAGTGTATTTAATATATTTATATTTATTTACTAATTATAGACTACGGTATAATTACCTATATTGAAACTTGAATCAATAATAAGTTTTTGTTTTTGAATGCATAATTCCTTCCGTTAGATATAACTAAAAGTATACCCTTTGTCCAAAGAATACAGTCCACGAGGTGCTGGTTATTAGAGTCACCTTTTAATTTCACACGGAATGAATTATGCATTCATTTTGTCTTTATCCAAACCACAATCGTCTCTATAGACGCAACGGTTTATTGATGATGAAAATTAACCATTGCATTTATTTTAAAAATATCCTTATTTTTGGCTTTTTCGTATTCATTGCCTTTTTTAGTTCATTGAATATCTTTAAACTACAAGTGACTGTTCATACAACCAACTATATTCTTGCCTTTTAGACTTCAAACTCTTTGACCTTCCATATTCCTATTTATTACCCCTTCATCTCGCCAGAGATAGACTTTACACAAAAAAAAAAAAACACTTTCTGTCTCCACCATTTCGAAGAACTAGGGATTTAGGTTTTGCAATTCGATATGGTTCATTATCACAGTCTTTACGAGTTGTCACCTGTGATAACGGGATGGACGATCTGTGTCATGGTTCTTAGGGTTTACAAGAAATGGATCAATCAATCCTCGTTCCAACTTCGCTTGGTGTTGGTCGATACATCGGTAAGTTATCTACTATGTATTGTGTAATATTATCTCTCAATTTATTATAATTTCTTAACATGCAATTCACAATTGTTTATTAAAGGGCACCCAAATTGAGGCAACAATCGATCGGTGTTTTTTCAAAATTTTACTTTGATAAAATCAAAGAGAATCAGTGGAAAACCATAACAACATTCCGTGTTCGCCCTAACTCGGAAAAGGTTAGAGCGACCTCCCATACTTATGGGATATGGTTCGTCGATGAAACATGTGTCACATCTGCTGATCCTAGAGAAACTGTCCTCTTTAATAATTTCACACCTTTCGACTACATTGTTGAGGACACTGTCCCAACAAATACATTGATTGGTAATTCGAATTCCCTTTAAAAACGTACTCTTCACATATGTTTAAGGGTACGCATTACCCATCATTTTCATCTTTGTATATTTCAGATATAATTGGTGCTGTCGTATATGTTGGTAGCCTGACCAATAACGCACCGGATCGTGCTGATATCAATGGATACAGAATTCCTTTCAAGCTCATGGATAGGAAGTAATTATACAATAAATATATATGTGTTAGGATTTATTTCATAATTTCATATTTCATATGTTAACATGAGATTTTTTCCCATTTCAGCCAGGTAGTACTGAGATGTGAGGCAACTGGTCAAACCGCCCTAGACTTTGACAGTAACTACCGCAGATTTGGTCATACGAATATTATTCTTGCTCTAGCTTGGTGGAGGATTGATAGGTATGCAGCAAGGCCGGAAAGTGTGAGGATTGTTAGCCATGGGCCTATATCGAAAGTTTATTCGGAGCCAGATATTGAAGAAGTGAAAGATATCAAAATGGTGGTCGATTAACTTATCCAAAAGCTACAAATAATATTCATGTCTCCCTTATGATGATTGGTGAATGATTTTGTTAAACTTTTTGTAAGGATGTACTCTGATGTAATATCTTTAATTCTGTCTCCCTTAAATCAACTTATGTATTAAGTGATTGCTTTTGTTAAACTTTTTGTTAAACTATGTTTATTAAAGGGATGGCCTTTTTAATGATTATGTAAGTTGTTATTATCCATATAACTTGTTAAAATCCTATCAGACAGGACATATTGGCTACATATTATTGGATAGGGTAATTAATTAACAAGATCACTATTACATATCACCCCAATAATTAAGGGTAAATTATGTACTAATATCTAAAAATAAATCTAGTAATCCATCCATGACCCTTGAATATTTAGTAAGTTAGAGACTTTAATCATAGGAAAAATAACAAATTATTTAAATTTTATACTTATATAATAATTAGTATTTATGCATCATAACTAAGATTACAAAAAATATAGAAAGTTATTTAATTTTATCTAATAATACAGATAGTAAGCCATCCATAACCTTTTCTATTGGTTATGTTAGAAAAGGTAATCGTAGAGAAAGAACATATTTATCCCGAAAACCATATTATCTTGGCTATATAAAGTTGGACACTTGTAAACCTAACTATCTGGGAAGAAGAGACAATCTGTCTTATCAACCCATTTAACTTTTGAGCGGGAAATTTCCCCCCTTAGGGATTACAACTGTTGGACACTTATGTCTTCTTTATTAAAGTGATGGGATTGGCTTTTTCATACAATAAACAA